GTCTTACACTGCTAAATTAGGGACGGCTAACGCAGATAGCCGTAGTGTAGCTTTGCGCGAAATTCAAACCAAACACCTTTGCGTTATTGTGTCTGTGTATTTTATCAAAGCTTCTGGTGTAATTCGATTTCTTTTTGGGGTCCAGAGGCTTTCAGTAGTACAGCTGGTACTTTTTTCAATTATGGAATCCAACAAATCCCAGGTTTCTTTCTTTGCCAGATAAGCTTGACATTTCTTGGAAGTATGTTTGGGGGTCATTATATTCTTGAAACATGAAATTCTGTCAAATCCGCTTCTTTCCAGAAGGTATGGCACGATGGACTGATATACTATGGTGTTTATCCTTATTCGTGATTCCATCAATTTGGGGAAGATTACTAATAACATTCACAGAATTTCCTTCAAGCTTGACCGTTAGCGCAAGACATTCATTTTTCATTTTGAAGTAAACGTTGGGCTGCACCAAGCCTCTCTGTTCATCATTGTCATTGTCGTCTTGAGTAAGAAGTTCCGTGAGGGAACCCTGTGGGAGCTGTTATTCGCTGAAGATCTTGTGCACAGATAGCCCATTGTGTAACTTTGTGCTTAATTACAAAACAACAACATGATCAATGGGGGTGTTCTAATACATTTTCGGACAAATGTGTATCTCTCAAGAACATCATAGTAGTTCCAATTCCCTGATATTGGCCCTAATAATGTTTATTATTTTTACAAACAGCATTATGTTTCACAATACCATTAAATAACTAATTAAATATACTTGTCTTGCGTTCTTATTTATAAAGATTAGAATGCATTGTTTCATTAGTTGGGTACCCTCCCTGTTAACGATATTTTCGGCCGTAAACCCAACAATATATATATCACGAGGTCCAGCCCGATTAGGTAGTTTAGGTTAGTTCTAAATACAAATATTAAACTAACAGTGCAAAACAATCACTATAATGGTAATAAAATCAAATAAACGACACATTCTAACCAGTACCGTTAATGAAAGTAACAGTTATGAGATAATAGAGCACAACTTACATACGGAACACACAAACACTAGGTGTTGGCTTCAAGTATTATCGCACAGTTAATGTTCGTGTAAACACTACAAAGACTCAAGCCTCCCAATGTAGTAGTTTGTCTGCGGACTTACAACGCTAGAAACCGGGTTTCGATTCCCCCTTGGTGGGCAGAGCACAGATAGCCCATTGTGTAGCTTTGTGCTTCAAACAAATAAACTATAAATATAAAACACATGAATATAGGGGATTTCCATCTTTCCATCTTTCAATATTTTAATTTTTTTTTCATATTTCATCGTGTTTAAAAAAACAGGGCCGTTAAAATATATTTTATGATCAATGTGGGACAAATTGGTATAAGTACGAGATTTTGTCCAACTTTGGTCATTTTGTATATATAAATCGAGAATATATATGATATTTCGGTATTAATATTGTATTTTAAAGTAAAGCTATGCTACATTTAGCGTTTGCTCATAATTAATTTTTTTTTTCTTCACCCCAAAGGTTTATGCTTATGACGTAAATCGTGGGAATGAAGGTTGTTGTCTCCCAGGATATCCAAAAGAAATCACCAAAGAATTTCCGGCCAAAAGTCATGAATCCAGTCTTCCAGACAATTTGGATGCTGTATATTATTCGTATACACACCATTCAATGTTCTTTTTCAAAGGAAATCAGTTCTGGAAAAATCTAGCTTTCCAACCGCTAGGCAGGGAGCGACTAAATGAGATAGCCGGGCCTTGGCCAATCTCTTCCAAATGGTACGACATCTGCGAAGTAGATCTGTAATGACGTGTCAGTGATTGTGTTTGTATCTAAGGTGTTGCTAACGGCAACGCAGATTAAATATCTTATGACGTCACCAGCAGTAGCACGAATCAAATGTTGATGGTTGGTTATGACAACTGGACTTATTAATTAGTTTTCGGTAATCTCGCAGAAGACTGTTAGATCAAGACTTTTAACTTGAAACATGTTAACGATTTAAGCTGTTACTGCAGGTAAATAACGCTATATATGTTGCGATCCGTGTTTCATTCATTAAAGACAACATAAGTATATAGTAATAGCACGAATACGTAAAGTGTAATAACGTGGTTACACATTTACAAACGTAGGAAATGACTATAGTTATTAATCCAAACCTACACAAGAAATGGTGAAATAGAAATAATTCTAGTTTGTTTGTTTTTTAAACTTTGAGAATGAGATACAGTTTCTATTAACGATAATATCGCCTTACTGTATCACCGTAAAAGTTTGTTTTAAAGTTATATGTATAGTGTTTTAACACTACTTTTGCTCACACAATGATTCTATATTTATAAAGGAATTTCAAGAATATGTATCATTGATACTACTATTTTATCTTTGTGAACTATTCATGAAGCCTGGTTTTGTTATTTCGATTTGCCCGGTATGACTAAGTGACAGTGGTAAATCGTATGATAGGTTGGGCTCCACATTTATTTGTTAGTGTTTTAACGTTAGCCTTAAAGCTGTTTATAAAGAAATGTGTAACGTATGACGACTGGTCATACAATACACGGTTTTCTACAGATACGATTTTGAAACGGACCTGAAGTTACCTGTATACGTTCTCCGAAAATTGGAGATAAAAAATAAATCCTTCAAATATTGTCGCTAGTAATGTCTTGTAAGCAGCATTTAAAATTAATTTATAAAAGTTTTGTTCGCTGTCCTCTAAATATTGTAAGGGTAAGGAAAGTCACGTAAACACACGCACGTAGACCTAAGTAATTTTGTCAGAATCTCGAAAATCTGTTATTATTTATCTTCTTTTTTTTTGTTACAAATTTCCTTTGAAAGTAATTTTATGTAAGAACGACTGATACTATGCTGTTTGCTTTTACACTGTCGTGTACTTTTAGATATATCTTAACCATTTATTCTCGAAAGTAAAGCTTGGAATGAATAATACCCTTTGTCTTTAAGGCCTGTGTGACCTTATGACACATTATCTAACTGAAAATGTAAAAGTAAAAATATAGAACTTTTAAACTTTGATCTTACTCATATGATACATATTTGTATATTGATTTTATTAATTAAATCATACATTTACTAGATATATATATATATATAAATACCTTTTATTTAAAGATTTTATGAGTTATACGTTAGGCCTATAGACTTATACGTTAAGCCTATAGAGTTATACGTTAGGCCTATAGACTTATACGTTAAGCCTATAGAGTTATACGTTAGGCCTATAGAGTTATACGTAAAGCCTATAGAGTTATACGTTAGGCCTATAGAGTTATACGTTAAGCCTATAGAGTTATACGTTAGGCCTATAGAGTTGTATATCCTGTAGACCTATGTTACAATTAGTTCAATATTTTGTAGGTCTGTTGGCGGCAGCCTTTTTCGGTGATCATCAATAGAATCGCGTGCCCATATATTTATAATATTTCAGAACATATAAATCGAAAATTTTAAAATTAAAGAAAGGATTGGTTGCATACAGAGGTACCAGTTGTTAGCAATACGACAAAAATTAACATTTAGTACGTACATTGACTCGATAAATGAAACAGTGAATTAAACTCCCTTAATTAATACAGTACTAGTAGTAACATCGGCTAGCTATTAATTAGTTCATTCGGTTTGGCACTGGCCTACCGTCAGGACGCGAACCACAATAGGCCTATCTAATAATATACATATGTATGATATATTTCGACGCGACGACATAGACTGTCGATTAAAAAAAATTAAATTATGATCAAACTCAGTGTTTTGGAACGAAATATCTCCAGTTATTGACCAGTATTACTCTGACCTCTGTAATACAGTAGTAACCATGTAGTTATGGGCAGTGTACGTCCCCCTTCCCCTATATATATATATTTACATATGTGTGGTTAATATGTAGTAACTTTAATTACTACGTTGTTTTGTAATACCGTACCTTACGTGTAACTTCATCCTTCTTTATCTGTATATATATATATATATATATATAATTTAATGGAAATCACGTAGTTTTCGACTACGTACCATGTTGTCAAATAGCACTGTTTGGGTGTAGCATGTGTAGGACTTCTGTTTTTCACCGTATATATATTTTAGCTGTTTTATTTAGATATCTTAAGATCCGGGTTTTCTCTTGTAACGCTGTAATGTCTGTACCACAATATAACCGTGTAGTCTCTGCACACCAAGTTATCTTATGGAAATAATACCATGTATAAAACATAGTTCTATTTATATTAAAGCTTTATAAGAGAAGTTAAAATATGAAATTATAGAAACAAACTTATCAGCAATGGACGAAACGGTTCAGGGTAATATTCCAAGACAATGTAGTCATAAAAGTAGCTACAGTTTGTATGTCCAGTAAACTGAATAACAATTTACGGTGTTTATTGGAAAAACACCGATATTTTTTTTTGGGGGGGGGGGTGTTTTATCGGTGGTTATTGGCTAAAACCGAAAATCAGAAGTCCTAAGCATGTCGTGAGCAAATAGACGACTTATTTAAACAGTATTCCGACCACAACTGTGTTTGTCCTGTCTCAGCCGGAATGAAGGGATTCAGCGAAACAAGTCGTCGGTAATGAATATGGTAGACGTAATGTGGTTGAAATATTTATATATAGTCTTCTCCTTCTTGAAGAAACCCTAAATAAAGAATGTAGTATTAAAGTATAATGGACCTAATATTAAATGTCTTAAGAAAAGTATGATTGATAATTCGTCTATTTATATTTCACTGTAAAATCTAACTTTAAATTTCGTTTAAAAAATGGTAATATTTCTGAATTTCTTTGAATGTGTGATTGTTTGTATTTTCTGTAGGACTAATATTACGACGTGCCCTTCCCCTACCCGGCTCGCACTTTTCACTCCTATAACGACAAAAACACTTTATCCGGATAAAACTTAATGTCGCATTGGAAAACAAATTTATCATGAATTTTTCTGTGCTTAAAGATTTAAAGGTTTAATTTTTCATTATTTCTGTTTCACATATCTTGGTTAAGTACAGAGTTTTTTTCAATCAAAGTTAACTGATCGTGTATTAATCTGTAGCCCCCCAGTGGCACAGTGGTACGTCTGCGGACTTACAACGCTAAAAACCGGGTTTCGATACCCGTGGTGGGCAGAGCACAGATAGTCCTTGTGTAGCTTTTGTGCATAATTAAAAAACAAACAATTGATCTGTAAAATTATGCTGCCCAATGATAACAACAAGGAGCAGTAA